CCAACTATAAAACCCCCAGAACGTTCAACTCCGTCCATCTATACCTGCTTTAGCCCGTAGCCTTCGCATATCGCAAACTTCTTTTTTATCCCCCCGGCCTCCTTCGTATCTGGAGGGCTCTTGAAGTTTGTCGGCTGAATGACAAAACCCCTTATGATTGAGCCTCCTTCAGGCAATAATAATAGGTGATTGATTTTTTTCATGATTTCGCAGAGGAGCAGAGGAGGGATTATTTTTTTATCTATATGTATATTCACTCGAGGGAGATAGAGATACAATAGAAGTGATGTCACTATGAAAGGAGAAAATTTTCTTGAATTAGAAATATTGGATGGGTTAAAAAAAACTATCCGTCTGCTCCAGTATTTTTTTAGATATGACAATTATTATATTATTACTAGGGTCTGAATAATCTTAAAGTCACGCACGGAAAAAGTTAATAGAAAAACCTATCGAATTCGCTAGAAAATTCTATTAAATTTCTGTTAAACTTTCTATTAGTTTTCGGCTGATTCTATTGACATGTTCAATAGAGATCATTCAATAGAAAAAGTCAACAGAATTCGATTTTTCTATATAACTTATTCTTTTCATATATTTTCTATAGAATTTGCTCGACTCAAATTTTTTTCATTCTATTTTTCTTTTCTTCTCATCAAGAAAATCACACGAAAAAACTTAAAAAAATTTGAGCCGAGGAAATTCTGTCTGAAAGTTTAAATGGTATCAATTATTTTTTTATAAACAACAAATGTTTTAAAAGATAATTAATCTGTACAAAATGTAATTTGAATGACGCAGAATATTCATTACTTCTTTTCAAATTTCTCTCACGCAATTTAATTTACAAATTTGATGATTGAAAATAGTTGAATCTCGAGTGTAATCGATACCAAACTGTAAGAAACACTTGAATATCCTCAAGTTACCGAATATTTTGCTCTGATTCATTTATTTAATCCCCAAAGCTCTGCACCGGAGTCTTCATTTGAAATCGTTAAAAAATTCTTTCTATTCTAACGACAACTGGAAAGAACTCTTTGTGCGAAACATAAAAAAATTAGAAACAATAATTCTTGAAAGCCACATTTTTTCATAAATATATTATGAACAATTTCAATTTTCAATTTCAAAATCCACTTGTTAGAATTCCTCATGATGCAAAAACAAAGTTTTCTACGAGTTCAAACGATTCCTTTTTTTTTTCTTAACAAAAATCGAGTGTTTTCTTGCGAAATGTAAATTTCGGTGAAGCTTATCCACGCATTTTTTCAAATTCCTCTCGCGCAAATCAAATCATAAATTTAATTGAGCGCAAAATTGCTGCTCTAATATTTTTCGCTGCAATATCTTTCATCGATGCAGCAAGAAGAAATTGCAGAATATATGTATGCAGCAAAGAAATATTTGTTTGCTCAGTCACGTGGGGGTGCACTTTGAAACGAATTTTTGTCGGTTTTCCAGAAAGCCAGAGATATTCCATGCGCGGCCGCATTACGGCTCAACGGATGGAATCCACAAGGATATTTCGTGTTACCGTTGGTTGTACACCTGTGTACCCAGAGAAACACGCGCGTCAGGGAGTTTGGGGTCAGGGGGGTTTCGGGGGTGGCAACGGGAAAAAGGACGAAACTGGGAGCAAAAGCCAGCCCTTGAATATACACACGATCTCAAGGACCACAAGTATTTTCACTATATTGTGTGTGAGTCCGTGTATTTTCTCTCTCGTGCCCGTAGTTTTACCGCGACCACGGGTACACAAAACAATTTTATCCAGTCAAGAATATTAATATCCCGGGGGACTCACAGATCCCACAAGATACTGTGTTTTACACTGTTGCGCTGGGAACTTATGGTGTGGTTTTTTTATTGGGGTTTACCTTTTTTTCAGCAGATTTTTTTTCCCAGAGCTCTATATCTTGGGGATCATATATCCTGCATTATTGATAATCTCTTCGTAATTCAGAATTCGATATGCAGTGTTGACCATTTTTTGCGGAAATTTTTAGAGCATTTCTCGGAATTTTTTATCACATTATAGTTCTACTGAAATTTCAAGGAATTTGGTGGTTGAAAATGTAAAATTTCACGTAAATTTCGGTAGAAACTCTCATTTTCGGTTTAATTATTCCATGGTCGTATTTTTATTATCCCAACGATCGTATTTCACGTCAATTCAGGAGAAGTGCAATAATTCCGATGCATTCGATATCATTTTTCCGGAAGCCTTTTCCTCCCGGAGAAAAGCATTGAAGAGTGCAGGGAACCTCCCCTAGTTGGCAATATTTTTATTGGAGATACACCAGTTTCCCCGGTTGGATGCACCCTCTCGATTTTTCATCTCCTCATAATAATGATAATGCAGGTCTCACGTAAAAAAAAACTGAAAAAACAGCATCAAAGGCACTGAAGTATCATGTTGAAAACTTTGAAAAATGAGAGAACTCAGATAAAAAAGCGAGAGGGGGAGGTATGCACAGTGTACATTCAAGGTATGACCTTAATTCCGACGGAAAATGGCGCTGACAAGCGTCAGATTACAATGCAGTCTATGACCTCTGGTTCATCCTTGTGAAACAGACTCGACGACACGAAAAATCATGGTCTGCCGGTCTTCTTTAAAACGGCGGGATACAGCTCGATTACAGTAATAATTGATGAATTCTTCATATTTATAGACGTGAATTAACGATTGATTCAATGCACGAATAGTCGGCCATTGAGGAACTCGATTAGTTCGTTGAGAAAGTTACAGTCATCGACTGAAACGCTGGTTGAAAGGCTCGAGCTTATATTCTTAATCAAATAATTTTTCAAACATGCATTCCAAATACCTGCAAATTCTGGGGATCGAAACCAGGATAATTGCGTTTTCTGTAGAAATAGAATACTCGACTGTCTTTTTGAAACGATGAGACGCAACTAATCACAGCAATAATTGATATATTCTTCATATTTTTAGACGTAAATTGGACACGAAAAAAATTCAGTTGGTTTAAGATTTTTTTGAAACTCTTAATATAAAACTTTACGTGGGTTTTTTATTCAATTCAAGATTTTCTGAGTTTGCAGTCATTTCCTGTTTGGAATCTACAATAATTGAGCAATCTGTCAGATTTATAGACTGTTAAAAATTTTTGCTTGAAATTTCTGGGTCACTTGCTTGAAATTTTTATCACATTTTAGCTCCACTGATCTTTCAAGAAATTTCTTGATTGAAAATTCAGTATTTCAACGAAAAATCAATGAGAATTGTAAATATTAGCTCAATTATTCCCTAAACTTTAACAGGAATCGGTCAAATTCCGGTAAATATATTGCTGAATTTTCAATTAATTGAAAATTCAGGATAATTTGGCACTGGATATTCACGTTTTCAGTGATATCTGAAATTTCATCATTTTCCCCTTAAAACGCATTTAATGTCACTCCTTTGAAAAATACCAGTGGACTGTCCATGAAATTTCAATTTCTTCTGATAATATATACGTGAATTTAAAACTGATGGAGAGCCCCAACAGGCTCCGACTGAGGAATTCGATTAGTCCATTGAGAAAGTGATCCATATCGTTAAGCAGGATGTCCTCCATTTATTCATTCATAATTAATTTACAACCATTTATTGAAACCCTCGTTAATAAAGGCTCGACCTCATCATTTTAATCAAATAATTGTTCAAATACTCACAAGAATTTTCTGAACATTGCGGAAATGAGAATCAGGATAATTGCATTTTACCTACAGATAAAATACCCCGCTGTTTTTTTAAACCATGGGATGCAACTCAATCACAGCAATAATTAATATATTTTTCATATTTTTAAACGTACATTGGACATAAAAAAATTAACTTGATTTGCGATTTTAAAGCTCATAGCGTACGACTTTACTAACAACTTCAATTCCGTTATATATATATATATATATTTTTTTTAATAATATTAATTTCCTGACAATATGTACGTCAATTAAAGATTGATTTCAAGATTGAAGAATTCGATTAGTCCATCGAGAAAGTGATCGCTATCGTTAAGCAGGATGTCCTCCATCTATTCATTCATAATTAATCTACAACCATCTATTGAAACCCTTGTTAATAAAGGCTCGACCTCATCATTTTAATCAAATAATTGTTCAAATACTCACAAGAATTTTCTGAACATTGCGGGAATGAGAACCAGGATAATTGCATTTTCCCTACGGATAAAGCACTCCGCTGTTTTTTTAAACTACGGAAAACCAGTTCAATCACAGCGATATATTGATATATTTTCCATATTTATAGACGTAAATTGAAGATTGATTTAGCGCTCGAATTTGCTCGAACAGTCGATGTGACTCATGTCTCCTGGATCAGCATGTCATTTATTTATTCATCCACAATGAATCTCCAATAGCTGATTAAAACCCTTGTTGAAGGACTCGAGCTTATCCCCCCAATCGGATAATTGCTCAAATATTCATCAGAATTACCCGCAGCGCTTGAAAATTCTGGTAATACGAATCGCGCAACCAGGATAATTGCAATTTCCCTTTCCTCTCGCCAAATAAAACAGCCGTGAAGTGTGGAATACACAGAAGAGCTAAAAAAACCAAATATGCACGTTGAGCCTTGATTATTCATGTACAACGGTTGAACGATATGCCTTGGCTACACCGCAGTTACGTGACGATAAAAAAAATCTCGTACCCTCGCAATTGGCGTGACACTGGTTGTATATCGAGTTGAGAAGTACACTGTTTCCAATTACCAAGTTCCATCTTGCCAAGTTAATGCTGACGGTTTTTGCTTCACCTACCCTACAACCATTTGTTTTGCCATAACCCATTCTTGCCTTCACTCCTGGGCTTCATATTCCCCTTGAATTCAAGCCCTCATACCTCTTGGTGGAATAACCCCGGCTAGTCATCTATTATCATTATTTTCCTTGAAAACTTTCGCTCGAATTAACTCGGGAATATTGTAAACATTTTATCCTTATTATGTCGTTCTGTTACAGAACATGGATGTCGCTAAAGCTGCCGAGAGACTTCTGAAACTCGCTGTAAGTACAGGACAAATTCATTTATCTTACCTTCTCAGTATCCAAGTTTTGAATGTGGTTAAATTTCTTTTTTTTTGCTTTCGGAGATGAGAATGAGAAATGCCGCAAGTCAGGCGTTAATATTTAATGGTTAATATGGGGATGGGGAGGGAGAAATGTGGAGTGAAGGGAAGGCTGTTGGGGATAGGTTTTTATTAGGGTTTGTACACGCGTCGAAGATTCGGAGAATTCAGTTGAAAAAAATATACTTGAATTCAGTATATTTAATACCGGAATCGCGTACATGCGTAAACCCCAATGAAGAATAAAATATACTTGATTCAAGTTTATAATATACAATATAATATACTAACAAATTTTTTAAGCCATCATTTAATCAATTTAGTACATTTTTTGAGTTATTGTGGGACAACCCATTTTCGAACAAATTGGAAAATTAAAAAATTTAATTGATAAATTAAATTTTAATTAAGGGCGACTGATAGGGCTCAACAATACCTACATTTGGAAAGGAAAGGATTCAACTCTATCCATTCATTAGCGAACAACTGAGGAGAAACTTCGTTACATACGTGAAAAATTGCATTTTCTGACTTTTTGGATCATATAACACAAAAAATGGAAAACTTCATATAGAACGATTCCAAAGCTTCCATTTGGAACTAAGAACAGCCAAAGTACACTTTTGGAAATTTTTGGAAATTTCAATCACAGATCGACTGTTAAAAATTATCTTCTGAATTTCCCGTGCCAAATTCCGGAAATTTTTGTCGTGTTCAGGTTCCACTGAAATTTCAGGAAATCTTACCATTGAAAAATCAAATATGTCATTGATTTTCTATTCAACTGATCTGGAAATCAATAAAATACTTGATGTTTCAGTTCAATTATTCTATAAAATTCAGGGAAAAATTGAAAATTCATGTCATTTTGTTTATGAATATTCATGTCCCACTAAAAATTCAATCAACTTGTAAAATTGCCATCTCACTTCCACTGAAAACTCATAAATTTCCGTGAATTCTACTTAAATCTCGAAATTTCATCACCATTTTTTCCCTACATTCGATTCAATATCATTTTCATGAGATTTACTATAATATCTTTCATGAAATTTCAAAAAATTTCAAACAGTTTTCATCTGAATTCTCAATGTTGTGAGTTTAAATTTAATTTCAAATGCAAATGTTCAAATGAATTTTCAAACTCATTATGAAAATTAAAACATTAAATACAATTGAATGTTCATTACATTGAGAATTCGGAAAATTATTGCCTGAATTTTCCCAATTTTCAATATTTTTAGTGTCGCATGGGTCTGGAAATCAAGAGTTACGTGAATATTCAAGAAATGAACCGATTCATCAGTGAAGAAATGCACAAAAATTTCACGTAACTTTGCCGTTAAAAATTTCGAGTTTTTTCACTTGAACTTTCAAGAGTAATATTCAAACAGTGTACTTGGATATCCTTAAACATCAATATTTCATACTCTGACGGGTGAAAAAAAATCGACATGGAATAAAACTTTATGAATTCCACGTGCATTGAAACCCATTAATACGCATCCACGGTATCCGGGTAGATTGCATCGGTAATGTCGAGGGGGTATATCGGATTTGTGAATATTGCATGATCACGATGTATGAGTTTGCAACAGCGTAAAGCGTCACGCTGAGCATGTGTCGTTAAATCCTGCGCGAAATTGTTGGGGAAAGATAGCATCATCCCTCTGCACGTTGATGCATGCTTATACACTATTTTCCATTACTCTGTTTGCACTCGGAATTGTGTCTTGGAGATGTCAAGAAGAAAAAACAATGGACGCGGGGTTACTCTCGAGTTACCCGGAACCATGGACGAGCTGGATAAAGTGAAAACAGACGTAAACTGCTGGTCGAATCATCAGGAGGATTCGGGAAAAAAGTGGATAACTGCCGGGAGCAGTTTGTGGAACTCTAGCAATCGTAGGAAAGGAGCATCGGTGGCGTGACTTGGCCCGTCGATTCTTTTGTAGCAGTTTGTGACACGTCATGAACAACTCAGTGGTGCGCCATAACGAATGTGCCTTGTCCACGGAGCAAAAAAATGTTGTAAACTTGGTTTAAAGAGAATTCTATTGGTTCGCCGGGGGAATTCTGATATTACGTTTCAATCGCGAACGGTTTTATCTCGGTCTATGGGGTTCTAGGAGTCGAATGTTGACGATGTTCGATAACTAGGAGATTAGGAGATAAATATACTCGCCATTAACCCTAGTCTGGTCACCTGACGGGAAAATGCGACTTTAGTCACCTTCGCGGGAGAGTGCCGCCGTGTTATGTAGGCTCCAGCGTTGCCGCATTCACTCTACACTTCCCGGGCGCGTTTAGCGAGTTCCCAGCAACGTCGCGCAACAGCCAGTTTCATTTAACACCGGAAAAAATTGTTCACCTGTTGGAAATAATTTTTTTTCTCCCAGAATTAAGCATACAATATTGAAAAAAAATACTAGAATTTTCCAGATACTTCAATTGACGAATTCAATTTCGCAATCGTAAATTCGATTTCGCAATCGTAAATTACGCTCAAAATCGCCGTAGATTACGTTGATTTTTTCGTATTTTTGATAAACGTAAAAGACGCTTCGCTTAGGCATAATTTATGTTTTGCTAAACGTAAATTACGTTTTAATAAACGTAAAATACCCTTTGTTTAGGCTTAATGTACGTTTTTATTTTGCCAGTAAAATTTTTCAAGAATTGTACCAGGAAAATGCAACTAAAAATCTTGAACAGTGTTCCTCGTCGAGAGTCCGCCAAAAAGTCGGAGTCCGTCTTCTCTGTATTGAAGGTACAGAAGTGAAGAAGCAGTGCCTGCAAAAAAGAAATTAAAACGTCTGTGAAACTTTGCCAGTGCTCGTCGAAGCCACGCACATGTTCAAAAAGAAAACCCCACCGTCCATAAGAAATAAAAGGTCTGTACGGTTCAGAAGTGGTGGACGTGGTGGTGAATACTACTGAAAATGCCCAACGGCGGAACCGAAGACTTGCTCGTACCTTTGTGTCCAGCAGTATTATTGAGGATCGTACAAGAAGAGATGAGAGGATAGCTGTGGAATGTTGAAAAAGCCAGGGCATCTTTGACGGGTGGCTGTGGTGATCCACTGGAGAAAAGTAGTAAAAGGCATTTCCACTCATATATAAACCAAATATCTTGAAAATTCTGAAACGTGAAAAAGACGAGTCGAAGAATTGTTGAAACGAAACTTGCCAGTTCTTCTTTACTCCTATTTTTTTTCTTGTTTACTCTCCTTCGATCCCTCAACTGTATTTTTTTTTCCACCACCACTTTTTTACTTTTATTACTCACGGGGGGATCAAAGGATTCAACTTGGAATTGCAGACCACACCCAGGAATATTGCCGAGGTCAAATGGCTCACTTGAGACTGCGATGGGAATTTATAAAAAAGTGGCCTCGTCTCAAACTTCTTGCTTAGTTCATTAAGACCATTATTTACTGGGTTCTCACGTCCGAAAAAATCTTCCAGAAATTTTCTATACGGATTGCGTATAGAAATTCTAGACGATTTCCGTATATGATATTCGAGTATTTCTATACGAATATTTTCTATACGAATTATTTCTATACATGAATTTTTACATAAATTTTTGTTTTCATTCGAAAGATGTCTAAACGCTCCAGAGAAAAACGTAGAGAAATATCGCAAGTTCACACACTGAGAAACAAAATTTCTAATATCTGAAACATATTTTCTTGAGAGAAGTAAATTATTTTCAATGGCTTAAATCTCAGAATGTGTGGACTTCACGGAACTCGAATAAATTATCATTCATCACTATCGTTCCGCGTTACGTCATGAATATTTTACATATTGCAATATTGGAAGTGCATAACGAAAAAATCGTGAAAACAATAAAGACTAGAAGATTGACGATTCTTCTACGCGATTTAAGTAAGTTCATTTGCGACAAAATCATACTTGAGTACAAGAATATTTTAAAGCATGAGGCCTTTCTCGGGTCATGTGAGGTGAGATCCCTGAGAGGATTAAGCAATTGAAGAAAATTTACTTGTCTCAAGAAAATGTTTCAGATATTAGAAAATTTTTTTATGCCGTAGGTGCCCAGAATCACGCGATTCTAACCTCGCTTCGCTCGGTAGAATCGCGGATTCTGGGCCCTATGACATCAAATAGTATACGAAACTCGGGCGTAATGGTGTTTTTTGACTCGTGGGATTATAAAACTCGCCTTCGGCTCGTTTTACAAATTCCCACGAGCCAAAAAACCCATTACGCACTTGTTGCGTAATATACTATTCTCAGTGTACGAAATGTTTCTATAATATACATGTGGCAGTGGGTCGTATAGGATCAAACCTATAGAAATCCTACAGAAATAATTTTTATAAAATATTTGCGTATAGAAATATCAGAATATCATAGACAAAAAACCTACAGAAATTCTATACGCAATCTGTATAGAAAATTTCTATACGATTTTTTCATACGTGCTCTTCTATTTTCAGATACCGAATCACTTGATGTGGCTGTGCTTTTTCTACCTGTCGTTTCATTCTTCCTTGAATCTGATGGGGGAGCTGCTGCACTTTGCCGACCGGAACTTCTACTGCGACTGGTGGAATGCTAATAACATTGACACATTCTGGAGGACCTGGAATATGCCTGTGCACAGGTGGGCTGTGAGGTAAGTTCACGTTGCGATGGGAATGCTCAAGAGACTGTTTTTTCGCGATCTCTCTCATCCCCATTCAATATTCCCATTGCAGAGGGTCATGGAGAGGTACTGGGATGGGGTATTGGTTCGTGAAGTCTTTATTGAAATCTAATTATGTCTCGGGCCTTTGTGAAAATTTGGCAATTCATCTCACTTCATGAACTATCGAGCGAAATTTTTTCATAATGAATATACGTTTTTGATTGATTGGATAATTATTCGTCTGGTCATACATGAAAAAATATCGTAGAAAACCGAAAAAAAACAAAAATTTTGGATAACTTGATATTTCTATTAAAAATATTATCATTCCGGGTATTTCCATTAAAAATATATTTATGGAATTAGCGGTGTAGATAAATAGAATTCTATTGATTTTTTTCTATAGAATATTCTCCATTAAACATTTCCATCGAAAAAAAAAACGCGCCAATAAGTTGTGGAATTTTTCAGTGGAATCGACCAAGAACTAATAAAAAATCATAATTCAATCAAATAGAAATCAAATAGAATTTCCTAGCGAATTCGCTAGGTTTTTCGATGAAATTTTGTGATGCGTGGTAAAGTTCAAAGTTGTAATATTTAATTTAGAAGGTTCGATTCAGACAATTTAATCTAGTCTCGTCAGAACGGATGAGTATTGCATATAATGAATGGATCATTTGGTCGGAAAATTCAGGGACAATAGGACATTTACTAGTTGCTTTATAAAATCACGAGATTAAATAAACAATGAGATCGAAATTTCACTTGATGAAATATCAAGTGACTGTTCTACGTAATTCCGCTAAATAACGTTTCTTGGATTAAATGTGTAATTCTTCTTCTGACAAAGTGCAGAATTGTGTTGATTAATTTAGGAGAGTTACTACAGATAATTTTACATCGTCTCATCAGAGCAGATGAATATTGCACGTAGTTAGTGAACAATTATCGGAAAGTTCATAAAAAATAATGAGCATTCATGGCTTGATAAAATCACGTGTTGAACTGAAAATCTGACACCTCGCTGTGACCCCATGAAATATGAAATGACTGAATATTTTGTCTTGGACTGATTGCATATTTTTTCGTCCGACAAGACTCAGAGCTTATGTTCATGGATTAAGAAGGATTGATCCAGATTATTTAATTTCGTCTCGCCGAAGTAGATGAATATTGCACATAGTTTACGGATCATTTTCGGAAGATTTATCAAAATTTATGGACATGTACAGGTGATGTACGAATCGCCACATGTGCATGAAACATATACAACACGCAGCGTATGCAGCGGGTTATGTTGATAGTTCAGTTGTGAATTCAATCATGATTCGCAATTTTTGGGATCCGTCAGGATGTTGACAACAGAAATGTGTTGTTCATGAATGTACACATGCCAGGGTGTTTGAAACAGGTGTATGTTATTGATACGAGGGCGAGGAAAAAACGGCCGCGTAATTCAGTACGGAAGCGGTAAAACCGTTTAAGTCTAACTCTTCGCTGAGTTTTCGAGGAATATCTGCGAATCTAAGGGAGGAAACAAAATTTTCGTAAGGTCCTTTTTTACAGAGCGAATTGAGGGCTATAAAAAATGTAATGACAAAAATTCTGCTATCTCCACTAGATTTCGAGATATTTATGGAAAACTACCCGAGTCGAATAATTGGTTCTGACAAGTTCTACTTTCAGGTCTTGCCGCTCAGAACTAGATAGGTCTTGGAAGCCTCTTTCCAAGTGCTTCCGAGACCTTTCTACCTCTGGTTATGTCCCATTTTAGCACTCGTTAGGTGTCACCAGGACTTGTATTTAGACCTTCCCTCCTTTAGAGGACTTCTCAGTGCCGAAAAGAATTGAGGATTCGAAAGGTCTCCGGAAAACTACGTCGCAGAACTGATTAGGACTTACCAGGTCAATCTAGCTTTAGAGAAATCTTGAAAGACCTGTGTACGTCCAATCAGAACCAAATCCCCCACTCGGGATTTTCCTGCACCATTGATAGAAATTTAATACTGTTACGCTGTAATTCGGCCACAATCCCGGCAATCTCATCAACTATTTAACGAAAACTCTCCCTCCAAATCGGCATGATCCTGCACCTCAATTCTACCTCAAATTACAGTATATTCATTAAATATTCTTGCACCTGAGACTGCGCCATAAAGTATAATATTCCGAATTTAATGGAAAATCCAACATGACTCATCTTGAACATAGCCGTGAATATTCTCCTTGACATCCCATAACAATTTCATTAGATCTTTCAGACGTATTGTTCCCATTCCTCCTCAACCCTCAATTTGGTCTCGATTTATGACACCTCTAATTCAATCATAATTCATGATCCGTCATAATTTTCATTTTATGTCTGAGTACAACGTAAAAAATGGAAAATCTCAACGTTGCCTTTGAGGATTATGTGTTTCATTGAGCGTCGTTCACGCTCATTCTTCTCCTGACTGATCGATAATCATCACAATTGAAGGTTGCAGTTTCTTGCAGTAGCCAATTTACAAAAGGTTATGAACCTTGTAATATTACATGATCTGGCTATCATCTTATCGACTATCCTACTTCGCAACTTCCAAATTGCAGTCTCTTCATTGAATATTCTAATAGTCCTCAAGACCCCAGTGCTACGTCTAAAGGTTCCAATGCAAAACTTCACACCATCCGTCACCAGCATTGCCTTGAAAATTCTTCTGGAAACCCCATAACAAATTCATCAGATCTTTCAGACGTACTGTTCCCATTCTCTCTCAACCCTCAATCCTTCCTTGGATTTCGACACCTCTAATTCAATCATAATCCTTTCTTCGTAATAATCATCGCTTCATGTCTGAGTGCAACATGAGAAATTACAAAGTTCACCATTGCCATCAAAGACTATATTCTCTCATATGCTCTACAATCAATTTTCATCAAGGAAGATTCAACAACCATCCTCCACGCTCGTTCTTCCCCTGAATCATCGATAATCATCACAATTGAAGGTTGTAGTATCCTTGCAGTAGCCAATTTGCAAAAGGTTATGAACCTTTATTACAAGGTGTAATATTACATGATTTGGCTATCATCTCGTCGACTATCCTACTTCGCAACTTCCAAATTGCAGTCTATTCATTGAATATTCTACTACTCCTCAAGACCTCAGGGTTAAGTTTAAAGGTTTCAATGCAAAACCTCAAACGATTCGTCGCCAACATTGCCGTGAAAATTCTTCTCGAAACCCCATAACAAATTCATCAGATCTTTCAGACGTTACCTTCCTATTCTCTCTCAAACCTCGATCCCTCCCTGGATTTGGACACCTCTAATTCAATCATAATCCATTCTTCGTAATAATCTTCGCTTTCTGTCTGAGTACAACATGAAAAATCACAAACCTCAACATTGCCGTCGAAGATTATGTTGAATTTTCATAAAGGAAGATTCAGCAACTTCCATGCTTCGACGCTCATTCTTCTCCTGAATCATCGATAATCACCACAATTGAAGGTTGCATTATCCTTGCAGTAGCCAATTTACAAAAGGTTATGAACCTTGTAATATTACATGGTCTGGCTATCATCTCATCGACTAACCTAGTTTGCAACTTTCAAATTGCAGTCTCTTCATTGAATATTCTAATAGTCCAATAGTTCCAATGCAAAACTTCACACCATCCGTCACCAGCATTGCCTTAAAAATTCTTCTGGAAACCCCATAACAAATTCATCAGATCTTTCAGACGTACTGTTCCCATTCTCTCTCAACCCTCGATTCCTCCCCGGATTTCGACACCTCTAATTCAATAATAATAACCCATTCTCCGTAATAATCTCCTCTTCATGTCTGAGTAAACCACTAAAAATTACAAACCCCAACTTTGCTATTTAGGATCATGCTTCCCATACGTGCTACAACGAATTTTCATTAAGCAAAATTCAACTACCCTCTTTCAACCTCAGTCCCCTTCTGTATAATTAATGATCATCATAATTGAACGTTTCTCAATTCCTGCAGTATTCATTGAATATTCTCGATTGTACTCAAAACCACGTCATGAAGTTCGAGACTAATGCAGAATCCAATATTGCCTTGAATATTCTCCATGAAACCTCATAACAATTCCATTAGATCTTTCAGACGTACTGTGGGATTCCCTCCCATCCGTCAATTCACCTCCGGATGTCGACACCTCTAATTCAGTCATAATAACCCATTCTCCGTAATAATCTCCCCTTCGCGTCTGGGTAAATTATTAAAAATTGAAAAACTCACGGTTGCTATTGGAGATTATGTTTTTTCATGTCCTCTACAGCAAATTTTGAGAAAAATTCAACGAACGTCGTAGTAACATCGAAAATATGGTTGTAATTCTCATGAGAGTGACATTGAATTCGATTTAAGGGAAAAATGGATATGAAATTTCAAAATTTAGGTAGAATTCAAGAAAATTCATGAGTTTTCAGCGGCAGTGAGACGTAAATTTCACAACTTGATGGGATTCGCAGTGAAACATGAATATTCAGAAACCAAATGACATGAATTTTTAATTTTCCTTAAGTTTTTCTGATTTTTTCGAATTTTCGCGAAATAATTGAACTAAAAAATCAAGTATTTTATTGATTTTCAGATCATTCGAACAGACACTCCTACATTTTGACATCTCTAATTCAATCATAATAACCTATCCTCCGCTGTTAATTGTGTTGTTTTGAAATGACGTAAATGCATTTTCAACCACAAAAACTTGTATTTTATTCTTCTATCATTTTTGCACGTTACAACTGGATTTCGCCATATTGCTAAGTAGCGCTACCACACGTTCTCCTTGAGTAACTCCATTTTGTTTTCAATTGCCACATGAACATCTGTAATAATCTCTTCTTCATGTCTGAGTACAACATTAAAAATAAAAAAAAAAGGAAAATTTAACGAGTGTCTTTCACACTCAATCCCCTCCTACATCATTGATAATCATCACTGATCGTTTCACTACTCTTGCATTATTCATCAGCTCTTCTAAATAGTACTTGAAAACAAAAAATGAAGTTTAAGACTTCAATTCAAAATATAACAAGTCATCTTCAACCTTGCTCTCAATAGTCTCCTGGAAAGCTCATAACAATTCCACAAAATCTTTCATACGTATTGTTCCCAATCCCCCCCGTTTCCTAATTCACCCCCACATTTAAACATCTCTAATTCCCTCATAATAACCCATTCTCCGTGATAATTTCCCCTTCATGTCTGAGTACACAATTAAAAATTTAAAATCTCAACTCTGCTATTGGGGATTACGTTTTCTCATGTGCTCTACCATTAATTTTCATAACGGAAAATTCAACGAGCGCCTACCACACCCAATTCCCTCCTACATCATTGATAATCCTGCAGTATTCATTGACTATCCTCAATAGTTTTTTAAATCAAACAGTGAAACAGTGAAGTTCAAGACTAATCAAAAATTCAACACGACTCATCTCCACTACTCCATTGGTCTGAAACCTCATAACAATTGCATGAGATGTTTCAGACGTATTGTTTCCATTCCCTCGTATCCTTCAATTCACTTCCGGATTTTTCACCTCTGATTCAATCATAATGACTCACTACACAGGACGAGTGCGCTGATCTATCATCTTGTTTACTTGTGAGAAGGTGCCATTTCTTCATCCAAATTTCAAATGTACTAAGTATTTTGCGCTCATAAATGCGCTGTAAAAATAAATAATAAACAGAAAAGCACTGAAGCAATGATAGAGATGAATGATGAGTGAAACATTAATGAATTCTTTTGAATCTTTGATCAATTCCCTTTAACTTTTCAAAGAGACCCGATCAATACTCGTAATTGGTGAAAAATCGGGAGAGTCATACGAATCGATTTTCTAGAAAAGTGAATAATTCTCTTGAATTGTTCAGAAAATCCCAGAGTTCTTTAGAAAACCGAATAATTTTCAAAATTCCTTTTGGACGGAAAAAACAGTAATTTTCCTCGAATTTTCTAAGAAACTAGGGAATTTTCTCGGTTCTCTAGAATTTAAAACTTATATTTAAATAAAAAAATGCAAGAGCATCAAATTCATGCCATTGGCGAAAACCGAAAAATGGAGGGAATGTGAAAATCGATGAGATTCATGAAAGTACATGATGAATGAAACCCCAAGAAGGAAGAACTCATCAATTTCGTGCTTGATAAACATGAAAAAATGTACAATCATTACGCAAAAATAATTTGAGTCCAAAAAAATTGAATTTTCATAAAGGAAAATTCAACGCGCCTCTTTCACATCCAATCTCTTCCTACGGCATTAATTAAAAAAACGGACATTTTCCAGAATTTTCTAAGAAACTGGGGAATTTTCTCGGTTCTCTAGAATTTCAAACTTATATCCAACTCAAAAAATGCAAACGAAACAATTTCATGCCACTCGCGAAAAGCGGAAAACGAATGTGAAAATTGCTTTGATTCATGAAAGTTCATCAATTTCGTGCACAATAAACATGAAAAAATTTACAATCATTACGCAGAAAATAATTCGAGTCCAAAGAATTTGTAAATACCACGCGTTTCGATACAAAACAACTTCACTTTCGTCTTTTATGGATAGGCTTCTCCGTAATCCCCTCCCTTAATATCCGAGTCCAACATTAAAAGTTAAAAACCTCAACGTTGCATTGAGGATTATGTTTTTTCGTGCTCTACAACGAATTTTCATAAAGGAAAATTCAACGACCGTCTTTCACACTCAGTCCTCTCCTCCCCCTCCCGGCAAACCCCACCCCGTCTTTTATCACTCGGCCTGGAGAATCTCAGCCTGCAACTGGCACGGGTCCATGCACAGCCGAGAGGCGACTAGGGAAAGGTGGAGTGGGATGAAAGTGGGAAAGAAAGATGGAGGGCTGAGCAAACTCCAAAGGCGATTCTGTTGAAGGGACGGGGGCAGGGGTAAAGAAGTAGATGGAGGCTCACGTTTTCAGTGAACAGGGGAGGGGAGGGGGGGGGGGTTGTAATGGGAAAAGACGATACGCATCGCATTGCCACACTTAAAGCTGTTTATACCTCCGAGATCCTACAATACTACTATGACGCCTGAGATTTTGCCAACTCCTCGTTGCGAAAGAGAGGCAAGGACTTCTCAAATAGTGAAGTGGCGAAGAGAAGGCGAGTAAAAATGAAAAGAAGTGCATGACATACGTAAATATTCTCGCGCTTTTTCAATCTCCCTCGGGTCTGGGAGGTTTTTTCGCATTTGCGGCGGGTCTTTTTTTTCTCGCTGCCGGGAGATGGCTTCGCTAATAAGATTGCTAACGACCCTCGGCGCCCTTTCACTCTTTGATGTTTATTCTACACTGATGAAAGGATAAATTTGTTTGTGCAGGCATTTGTACATTCCGATCGTCGAGATGGGATATGGAAAGGATACGGCGAGTGTTACCGTCTTCTTTATCAGCGCCTTCTTTCATGAGTATCTTGTCAGTGTGCCGCTGAAGACATTCAAGATTTGGGCGTTTTTGGGGATGATGGGACAGGTAAAGTGGTTTATTTTATTTTTTTTCGTGGGATATTGTGATGATAACAGAGTGAAGTTATTGTTTTTTAATTGGTCTTAGAATTGGAAATTATTCATTCATTTTTAGAAGGCAAATCTACAATATTGAGGAAGGGTTCTTCCTGTTGATCAATTGCACCTTTTCTTTTTCATAAATGTTAGGATTAATGGAACATTAATTTAGCACTAATCAAGTCAAGTTACCAAGTGATTGCGCATGAAAAGAATTAATAGAAAAACCTAGTGAATTTTTGTATTGAAATATTCAATAGAAAAATTCAATTCGATTGTTCTGCACGACTTATTCTTTCGAGATATTTTCCATAGAATTTCCTCGACTCAAATTTTGTATTTTATTTTTTTCATTCTATTTTTCTTCCCTTCTCGTCAAGAACATCGAACAAAAAACTTTCAATCCAAAATTTCAGCCAAGGAAATTTTATAGAAAATATCCCAGTGGAATTGTATAGAAAAATCGAAGTCTATTGATTGCCAATAGAAATATAATAGAATTATTCAGCGAATTCACTAAGTTTTCCGATTAAATTTTTTCGTGCGTGATATAATTTTAGGGGAGGATGGGGCAAAACGGCCCCCCTTCAATCGTCAATATTTTCCGATTCAATAATCCGATTGGGATGAGTTAGAGCTCGTTTTGAAGAATGAAAAATTATCTTCAAAATGAAGTTGAAACTGGGAATTTTCACAATGTCATTCACAAGTTATTGACAATTGAAGGGGGGGCCGTTTTGCCCCACCCTCCCCTAATAACAAAGAATTCATCAACTCCATCGAGATAGAATTATCGACTTGGAGATATTTTGAGAGATAATTGAATTGAGATTAACTTAACTTTACAACCACAGAAATCACAAATTCAGCAGCGAGAATGGTCTTAATTTAATAACCCAAAGGTTCTAAATTCAAGAACCGCACAGGTAAAAATAGTGTAATTAATTAAGACACAAAGACTTCATTAAAACGTTTCAACTCTCTTCTTAAAAACGTTTTTAGCTCTCTAATTTCAAAGAAAAAAATCCTTTTAAAATTACTTTTTGCACGTCAAATTCCACACGGACAGATTTCTGAAACTCTTTAAAATTTTTGTCTGAAATTTCCGGTACACTTTTTGGAAATTTTTATCGAATTTAATTACCACTAAAATTTCAAAGAATTTCGAAAATTCAGAATTTCGTGAAAAAATCAAAGAGAACTGAAGATTTCAGTTCCATTTTTGCCTGAAAATAAATGAAACACCGGAAAATTCTGGTAAATATAATCTTCAGTTTTCAGGACAACGACACTGAATGCGATTTAGGGGGAAAAAATCATGAAATTTCAGATTTAATTGAAAATTCAATGCAATTTGGCACAGAATATTCACATTAGATTGGAAATTCAAATAAACTCGTCTTCATGCTGCTTAAAATTCTGGAATTTTACTGTATTTTCAGTGAAACCTGAAATTTCATGATTTTTTCCCCTAAACCGCATTCAGTGTCACTGTCCTGAAAATTACTAGTCAACTGTCCATGAAATTTCATTTTTTTCTAACCGTCAATTACGAGCTTCTTCGTAAATCGACACTTCTTCTCTTTATCATTTATCAATGAAGAAGCAAAATGATTTAACTCAACTACATTTTCCAAAATATCTTAAAATTTAACAGAAATGCTTAATCCATTTGACATTTTCGCAATTGAATTACGGATTCAGATGGCAATATGAATTAAAAATCTAGACAATTTTTGAAATTCGTCAATTCATTAATGAGTTGATGAATTTGATCATTGATAAGTGAATGGATGAATGAAAGACCTAAAAAATTGATGAAACCCATTGGTGATCGACAGATACCACTATCAGCTATTAGCAAATACGTGGAGCGTCACTTTGGGGCACGTTGGGGCAATATCGTTGTCTGGTCGAGCTTGATAATTGGTCAACCACTGTGCATCATGGTGTACTATCACGATTACGTTGTGACCCATTTCGGTGAAACGCTCCTCGAAGATCACTCAATAGTGTAGTCGAAGCTATTCTACAGTGGATAAGTCAATTCATTCATGGTAAGGCGGTCGATTAAGGGACAGCTCCGCAAACTGGATGCGTCAATCAAGGTGTACCGAGATTATCGTCGACGGAGAGTGCGGATCCATGGGCTTTCTACTTGTTTGTATTTATTTTTCTACTTAAATGTGCCTTACGGGGAGATTTGTTACGAGTGACGAGAGAGAATTTTGTGCCAAAGTGAAAAAAGAACTGTGTGCAAGAAAAAGAGCAGAGGAATATCAGAGATTAAGAGAGATTCTTGTGTACATAAATATTAACTCAATTAATTCATTAAATATTGACTCATATTGTTGATAATTACTCAGTGGTGACTAATTAACTCATTTTTATACGTTCAAATAGTATCTGTTGATTTTCGTGTTGACTTCCTATTATCGTAACGGTTCTGTTAATATTTTCATATCAACACTGTATTTCCAATAAATTTCCGAGACAACGAATTGAGGATTTGAATAGTGTGATCCATCTAGAGGTACCAAGATTATCGTCGAAGGAGAGTGCAAATCCATGGGTTCTTGACTGGTTTGTATTTATTTTGCTACTTAAATGTGCCTTATGGGGCGATTTGTTACGAGTGACGAGAGGGAGTTTTGTGCCAAAGTGAAAAAAGGACTTTGTGCAAGAAAAAGAGCAGAGGAATGTCAGAGATTAAAAGAGATTCTTTTGTATATAAATATTAACTCAATTAACTCATTAAATATTGACTCATATTGTTGATAATTACCCAGTGCTGATTAATTAACTCATTCTTATACGTTCAAATAGTATCTGTTGATTTTTTTGTAGACTTCCTATTATCGTAACGTTTTTGTCAATATTTACATATCAGCACTGCATTTCCAATAAATTTCCGAGACAACGAAATGAGGATTTGAATAATGTCTGATCTGTATTTATTTTTCTACTTAGTTGTGCCCTATGGGGAAATTTATTGCGAGTGACGAGAGACAATTTTGTGCCAAAGTAAAAAAATTACTGTGTGCAAGAAAAAGAGCAGAGGAATGTGAGAGATTGAGAGAGCTTTTTCTGCATAAAAATTTTAGCTGAATGAACTAATTAAATATTGACTCATACTCAGTTGATCATTACTCAGTGGTGACGAAGTAACTTATTTGTTTATACACGAAAATAGTATCTATTGATTTTCGTGTAGACTTCCTATTATCGTAACGGTTCTCTCAATATTTTCATATCAGCACTGCATTTCCGATAAATTTTCGAGACAACGAAATGAATATTTGAATAATGCCTGATTTGTATTTATTTTTCTACTTAAGAGTGCCCTATCGGGAGAATTTATCACAAGTGGCGAGAGAAAATTTTGTTGCAAAATGAAAAAAGAACTGTGCAAGAAAAAAAGCAGAGGAACATGAGAGATTGAGAGAGATTCTTTTGCATAAAAATTTTAGCTGAATGAACTCATTAAATATTGACTCATTCTGTTGATAATTACTCAGTGGTGACGAATGAACTCATTTATTTATACGTGAGAATAGTATCTATTGATTTTCGTGTAGACTTTCTATTATCGTAACGATTCTGTCAATATTGACATATCAGCACTACATTCCCAATAAATTTCCGAAATAACGACATGCGGATTTGAATAATGTAATCCATTATATCGCTATCATTGAAATATTAATCCATTCCCACTAATTCAAACAAACTTGCTGACAGAGTTGTGTAAAATTTGTTAAACAGTGCCACAGTGATAACCCAAAAATTGATGATGAAAATTGTTCGCGGAGTTGACAGACAGTTGGGCATATGCATTCACGGAACGAATATGAGAGAGTTGATACTGCTCTGACGTGACAGGAGTTGTGAGTCTCTTAGGGGAAAACACCGACGTATTTATCATGCTGACATGTAGGAAAGCGTCGGGGGTATTATAGTAGCACTGACAATTATTGGAATTTAAGATGGGTCTTTGAATGTGATAAATCAGCCGTTCAGCAGTCTGTCAAGTAGTGAATGTCATTCTAAAATAGAGGATGAAATTGACAACTTGGTGGAGGTGGAAAACAGGGGCAATTTAATGGACAACTCATTTGTTTCAACTAATTCTTTGTTTTTATATGTATAGGGGACAATGGGGTAAAACGGACACTTTGCTTTTTTTCAAATGCTAATAACTTAATGAATTGTTAATGAAATTCTTTCTTTTTTTTTATAAGGGAAGAAAAAAATTCTAGAAAAATTCCTGTAGCGCACGGCAGAAATTCCGTTACGGGCACGGAAATTTTTCCGGATCCGTCCAAATGAACCTATTTTACCACAGTAATTTTTCTGGAATTTTTTTCTCCGGGTAAATTACGTTTACCAAATGTAATTTACGATTAGCAAAACATAGTGCAGCAAAGTTAGAATCGCGTTTTACGAGTCCTAGTGTCATAAATAAGGGAGGGTAGGGCAAAACGGACCACAGGGGAAGACGGACCTCTAGGGCAAAACGGACCACTCAGAGAAGATTGGTAATTTTTTTTTCTTTCCTTCAAATCAGGAACACTGAATGTCGTAAATTAAAAGTGAGTTTCAGGGTCATAACCGTCATAACCGTCACAGGGGTTTTATAGACAAGAAGTGTCGTTGTACCGCAATTTGATCAGATTTGCTAATCACCTCAAACCACAAATGACTTTGAATTATTGTTTTTCCTTCCATTCGGAAGCAAAAACTTTCAAAAAAATTATCAATTTTCTGTCAGTGGTCCGTTTTGCCCTACCCTCCCCTAACTATTATTGCCCCCACGCAGAGCAAAAATCATCTCGACCAACCCCACCCATTATTCTGAAAAAAGTTGTTCATCCCAGTACAGTTTTCAGCCCGTCGGCTTTTACTCATCTCCGTAATTCTCATCTACCGGTTTTTCCGATTCAATCAAGCCCCGTTCGACAGAATTTTTTCCCCTCTCATTGCGCCAACAGTAATGTGTAAAAGCAATAAGAAATCCGTTAGGATCAGCCACAGGCGCTTATATCCATCCTCCCCGAACTTGACTGAAAGTTGGATTTGGTAGCGGGAAGTTGGTAAAGCGTCAGATCGCAGTATCCCGGTGATGTAGAACGTTTCCTCCCCTGTCGTTTTAGCCGTGGCCCAGTGAGATGCTCACTGTGTGTTGTATTCAACGGATACCCAACCATGCACTTTGCATCTCTCTCCCACGAATTTCTCACTGAGACTTTTCCCCAATGATACCTTGGAACCTTGGATTGGTATTGGTGTGCGATCCGCATAAGGCACGCCTGCGTGGATTGTACCTGGTGGTGGCTACGGTGGGGCAACTATGCACAGCGTAATACAGTACTGGCGGGGGTAGAACGGGCGAAACACGATGGTATAAGGGAGCGGGCGCGTCGTGACGCCTCTGCAGTGAGCGCCGCGACGCCGATCTGTACGTATTTGCGAAGGCGCACGGTTTCCGCACATCCGTTTCTCGCGAGCACGAGGGTGACACTCATTAATATCCCCGATTTATCGACGAAAAAAAAATGACCGAGATTCTTGCACAATTGCTCATCATTTGCCCGGAAATTGCCTGAGGAATTCATGTTACGTGACACGAGAGGGAGAGTCCCACCGGCATCTGGAGGTGACTAACGAACAGGTACATTATCCCTTCAATAACTTTTATCTTGATTGAACATTTTTTTTTTCGACTGAAGGGCGTCATTTCATTCTTCTCGTTCCCTTCGTGTCACAGTGTCAGTTTTCTCTGACAGTTAAATTGAAACAGTTTGATGAGCTCTTGGCTGGAACGAGTCAAGTAGTGCTTGATTCAACGATCTGTCAGAACACGCCTCGGGTGGATAAAATGTTTGCACGTACCTGTCACGAGAGAACTCGACGGTTTCAATGAATCATTGACAATTGTTTGTTTTGCTTTTTTTTTCTCTCGTTTTTTTTCGGGGGGATTTTTTTTTCGTGACGTTCAATCAATGTTTCGAGGTGAGTGACGGCCGAATGAAGTCGGAGGGGGGGAGGGGGGCGCGAATTGTTGGATACTTGGGACAAGATTTTGCGGGGTTGTGACCCCATTCGAAAATGTCGTCATGGATCAAATGTCGGGGTAGCGAGGGAGGGTTTTTTGGGTGGAAGTGGGATTGTTGTGGATGACAATCGCTTTGGTAACGATGGACCGCGCTTGATATCATCAATATTTTTGGTAGCGGTGGCGTCATACGGGCAGAGAGTGTTCACCGCACGGAGGGAAATTTTTGGTGGAAATTATGCTACTGTTCTATAAAAGGGTCATGAGTCATCGTTTCCTCATTTCCATTCAGAAATTTAATCAAAATTAATGGATGATGATCAAATTTTATTCTACGTCAGAGAAATTTTATCCTGATAAAAATAAAAATTACCGTGCCGCTAAAAATTACTGCAATCGTTCTAAAATATTCGTTGTTATCTACATAAAAATTATTGGACTGGAAGGGTAAAATTTATTATGCGTCAGGATAAAATTTCTCTAACGTAGAATAAAATTTGATCATCGTATATTAATTTTTACAAAATTTCGGGATAGAAATGAGGAAGCGATGACTCATGATATACTTTTACAGGATAATTTTTACCAAAATTTCTCTCCGTGCATGGATTGGGAGGCAGAGGCTCGTTTCAGTAGCCAAGCGGTAAAAGGGTATTTATGTGCACTGAGGGAAAAAAAGAAGAGTTCTCAAACAAGTCGTACTCGTGCCAAATAAATCGTCTGTTGAAAATTATCAAAAAAGGATTTTTTTGTGCCAAACATGCGAAGCGAGCGCCGAGATTGAACATTCTTATCGCAAAAATAGATTTAGTCCTTTCGAAAAAAATTTACTCTCTGTGCAAGCAAGGAATGTAATTTCTAGCACTACTTCTTCATTATTCGATGCTCCTATACGTGTTTTGCTCCCGGCGAATGCTCGTTTTATATGAAACGAGGGATAGTAGTTTATCGTTTCGGCTCTTCAATAATCACAGACAAAAATGAATTGTTAAACGAAATAATAGTAATGACAAAAATATTTCTTGATAAATTTCCCTCTGCAAAAGATATTTTTATTTATTTATTTGTTGTTGTTGAAAGCAGAGCAATTATTTATGTTTAAGACTTTCAAATTCGAACGAAACAATTATTTTTTGGTTATTTTCAACTAACGATTTTGTTGTCTCAAACAAGATTTGTTTCAGAACTTGTTCGATTTTCTTCTAGTGTTGATTTATCTCTTAGCTAAGTTTTTAAGGAATATCTCCGAAATTAAGGGAGATACCAAAATTTCTGTATAAACCTTTTTGGTAGCTCTACATTCGCTCTACAAAAGAGGTTCTAACAAAAATTTTGGTATCTGCGTTAGATTTAGAGATATTCATAAAAAATTGGCCAATAGTAAAAATCAGTAGATCAGAACATTTGTTTTTTTGTTACACTAGAAAAATTGGTCCCCTAATTTAA